GTTTATGATTACTTTAAGGTTGCAATTATCTGATGGCTGTGTGGTAATTTAAAGGCAGTTTGATGACCAAATTGATGACCAATAAAATAAGGAAGATAAAGCTTCTCAGAGATGGCTTTCTTTAAAAAAGTAGGAAAGTATGATCAAGTTGTCTGCATGCCAGCTCAGTACCAGCCTGTGTATAACTATTATGAAACCAAGGCAAAACTCATTCAGAATTTTCCTCTGTTAATTAAGTAATTAGTGAGATAAATGATTGTGATCAAGTGAAAGGAGTTGAAAGTGACAGCTTTCTTATTGTCCCTTTCAAGGTGGAAAGATAAGAGTTCTTACCTTTAAGGAACTCATTAACTTGTGATTAAGGAGATGGGCCTTTAAGTCATGCCTGCTGACTTAAATTGTGACCTTGAATGTTAGTGGAAGCAAGGAAGAGTTCTAATTGTTTTGTGTCCCTTTTTTTAAAAGAAAATTAAAATGGTTTATTTATAAATGCTTAGACTCTGCCTTTGATATTGCAGTTGATTCCGATTAACAAATATTTAGCAATATGGATATCAAATATTTTTTATTGCTCTTATTGAATTATTTCCAGTATTTTGTAGACAGACATGAAAATATTATTGTCACCTCTTCCAAGTTGAGTCATACACCCCATTCTCATAGATTAGATCGACCTACATTGGATCGACCTAACTCCCTGGGGGTTCACGCTAAATAGCTGTCAGCCGGGCGGACACGAAAGTTAATTACCCCTTATAGCTTGTAGTAGGCGGGGACGGACACTTAAGGCGGATTATCTGACAGTAATCTAGTGAGACTCCCCGCGGTGATAGATCGATCTAAAAGTTGTGAGAACAGAGCCATAGATCAAAATAGAGAAACCTGCATATTTTATATTGATTGTAGATATAAATACTAAATTTCAACCACTGGATCCCACTTTCATCAACAGAAAATGTGCTAAATTTCAACCACCTGATTGATGTAATCAGCACTATCTGGGTTATGTAGAAAGAGTTTAGGATGTTTCTGCCTTGGGATAGAAGATATCAGAGGTTGACTGTATAGATGCTTACAGTTGATAAGATAATGGAAGGAAGTAGGATGTCCCCCCTTTGTCTCCCCCAGGTCTTATCAGTGGGAGGGTCCATGACTATACCTGGGAATGGCTTCACAAAGAAACTCAAGACTCTTAAGTTGGTTGTACTTTTAAAGATTGGTAACTATTGGTGTTGAATTAAACTTGTATAAACCTTAATTTTTTCTTTATTATTATTTTTTTTTTTGGGGGGGGGGAGTAAAGGTGGATTTTTTTAAGAGAAAGAAAATGTTATATTGTTGACAAGTTGCTGTTCTCATTTTTCACAGTATGTTTGATATCATTTGTGCGTACATGGTGAAAATAAACAGACCATCAGTTGGAATATTTATCAAATTGTAAAATTATGAGAATTCTGATGTCCCATCCCCCTTTCCCATATTTTATTAAAATTTTCACATATTTCCTACTCCTCCCTCTTTCTTCTTACTTAAGTCTTTGAGAAAGTGGAAGGAATGTCAACAATTTATTTTTCATTATCTCTCATTAGTTCATTTTCAAAGATGAAACATCTCAAGGTCCAAGATCATTCATATAGCAGGTGTCTTCACAAAGAAATACATATTGAATCATAGCATTCACTATGTCCAAGGGGTAAGCCAGTACAAAGACCTTCTTAATCGCTTTTGCTTTTAAGTATCCTACGCTGCGCCTTCAATGGGCATTGTTTGTCTGCCATCTTTGATCAGTCCAGTCGATTCATTGATGTGGAATAAAAGGCTATCAGTGGTTAGAATCTGTCCCCCTTTCTATACTTGTTTGACTTTCATTACTTGCAAGTTGTACTACACTGATTCTTCAGGGGTGTTTATTGGGGAGGGGAGGGGAGGGGGTAAGAGATATCAGAGTTACAACACCTTTACTGTAGGCGGTGACTCATTATTGCACCTCATTTCGGACCCTTTCAAAAGTGGGAGGGGTGATTATCAACAGGCAGAATGCCGAGTTACACAAAGCCGATCATAACCACTCGTTGAAACTGTGAAAGTTCAAACAGACATTCCTGTCTATGTTCAGAGATTGAAAGTCCTCGAGTTTCTCCCGTTTTACGGGGCACTAGTGTAGTATTAGGCTGGGGTCCCCAGAGTAGTGCTGCTAGTCTCCTTGTTCAAGTACAATGCAGTGTAAATACAGTGTGACACAAAACACCTTACATTTCCATCTCAAGAAAGAATAACATGGATTTCTATGGTAGAATTCAAAATGGGAGTTTGTGTTTTGTTATGAAGTATGTCCCACACAGCTTGTATTTGAATAAGGCCTTGGCTGTTTGGATTATTAAATAGGTTAAATGTAGGGGTAGTGTATACACACAGACTGCCAATGGGAGGTGATGGAGGATGCATTGCTGTAGTGTTGTGTTACTTCGGCTGCTGAGATAGGCTATTTCATTTGGTCCTATATCAGTGGACTCTGGTCACTTTGAGTGACCAATAATAAAATTAAAGGCACTTAAAGCAACTGATTTGTACAATTTAACATTTGTACAAAATTAAATTTCCTTTAAAGGAAGTTTTTTAAATAGGCAGATCAGTGTTTCTTATTTGGATGGAGAATATAAGTCATAGACTTAAATATCATAACATTAAAAGAGTAATTGTCTCATATTAAAAATGAGGTACCATTATGAAAAATTCCTGTAAAATGTGATTGCTTGGAAAAGATATGAAAAATATACAATAATCTAAATTAAACATCAAAGTTCAACTAGAAATAGATTTTTAATTTAGTATATACATAAACAATAAAACACAACCTAATTTGAATCAAAGATTGACATTTTAAATATTAGTCTGTATTCAGTTGGGGCAGTCACCAGAAAGATAGCATGTAAAATTGTTTTACATTCTCTTTGTGGCCATTTTCCAGTCATTTTGACCACTTGACCTACACTGCCGAGGTGGTCACTCATGTCACAAAGAGCTCACCTTTTGAACTTCATGACCTCAATGTTTAAGTTTTTGAAGTCTCAAAACTTGCCAACCATGACCAAAGAAGAAAATTATTTAGTTATAAACAAGCACTATACTAAATGAAATACTAGTGTTGTTTATGAAATATTGTTTTACAATTACCAGCAAGAGAAATATGTTCTATATTAGTGAAAACATTTTCCTGTTTATAAGTCTTCAATAAAAATGTTTTTGATGCTGAAATTAGTAACATTTGAGATGATGAAGTCTTTCTTGATAATTTTCATCCCAGTCTTACAAAATTATTTCAGTTATTTTGATAATTTTTCAACCATCAAGATGGCATATGAATACAAACCGAGAGTGTCACTGAATACAAATATCGCACATCTTTTCGGCCCATCATGTGAGACAAATTCCCATGTCACACATTGTGTCTCTGAACTTTTAGGTAGACAGAGTTGACAGGAAAACCGGTGCTTTCACAGTGCACATCTGGGTTAAACGGTGCTTTTGACTTGTTAACATGTACCTCGAGCACAAGTTTGACCCTCAGTGACTATTTTTCAAACTTTTACACTACCTGGCACTTTAATGCTATTGAGCTTTTCAAGTGGGAGTGGAAATATGGAACATGAAAGTCAGTTTTTACTGCTACCTTTTTTCTTTTGAGATCGTAGGAAGAAAAAAGCAATGAATCAGGATAATTACAGTGAATTATACATATATTTATGCATGCAATGATTTGTAACATAGAAATGATTGAAAATGAAGGAATTCTTGTGATAAAGAACTTTTAGTAGCAGTCTTCATCTTTTATGATTAATGGGAAAAGAAAATAGGAGAGGGATTTGGCAAGTCAAGGACATTTTAAGTATTTTTCTCTTTATTGATGGGTGAATAAAAGTTTGAGAGATAAGGAGAAAATGAGAATTCTTAGTCACAGAGGATGTATGGCTCAGTGATTTGTGAGACATACATGAAGCAATTTTGTCTTCACTCATCCTTGTTATTGGATGTATTATTGTGACAGTCTTCAATATAAGAGCCTTATTATTAAATGACAGAGGTGGGATAATGACTGACATTGGGATTTTTTCTTGCAGCTGTACTTGAAAACCTGTTCATCGAAACAACGTCAGTTCTGCACTAATTTCACTTGAAAAAAGAAGAAAGTAAACAAACATCCAAATTGGTCTTTCATTTTTGCACACTTTTTATCTAGAATGGATACAAAAGTTAATTTTGTTAAGTCGTGTTGATTACATGGCCATATGCTGTTACCCCATTACAAGATGTAATCAACATCTCCTTTGCTGCATGTGATTTTTTGCATCGGATTGGTCCTGTCTGAACAGAGAATCGTGGAATGGTGATCTACGTGAATGTCCCTCTGGTCACAGACCAGTGAATGTGATTCAAGATTCAAAAGCCTTTCACCAGAACCTCAGTATTTCGTTACATAATCCAAAGCTTTTGTCACATCCCAGGCCGTGGTTGAGCTTAACCCACTTGAAGCATCCACTTCGTATTCTCCTCCGAATTACAGCCCCTAATCTTTGTGTCACTTCCTTCAGCTGACAATGTGAGAATAGATCCTCGAAAAGAGGCTTTTCAGCTACCCGCAAGTATTCCCAAAGTTGACGAGAAACTTGTGGGGTAAATTAGGTGCAGTTGAAAGGAAAGTTTACACCGGGTGAACAGGTGCAGCCATCACATTTTCAAATCAGGGTTGTCAGAAGTTGCAATGAGACACCAAGAGGTCAATCGTCTACTAGGACATCGATATCTTATACATCCAAAAAAAAAAAAAAAAATGCATGACTAAGCTTGTCTTATCTGTGACCATGCAGATTACATATATTTTCAATAAAGATGTAGATATAATAATTAAAAAAAAAAAAACAATACTTCTTCATACCTATGAACAAGGTTGAGTGTTATTATTACATCAGACTTAATCTTTTTTTCCCTTCCAATCTTTCCAGGTCTCTATCACCTTACTAGACCAGAATGACACCCCTCCCTCCTTTGGGTCATCTCTGTATGAAGTGAATGTCCCTGAAGATGTCCAGCCTGGCTACGTGGTGGCCAGTCTTGTGGCTCAAGATGTGGACAGTGAGGGGACAGTGACCTACCGTATCTCTAGCGGAGACCTGAGTGTGTTCCAAGTGAACGGAAATACAGGTGGGTGTTTTTTTTTTTTTCTTTCTTTTTTTTTAAGTGATTGGAAGAGATGGACAGAGGTCTGTCCTAAAAGGAGCGTGCTATTGTCGTAAAGATTGCAGTACTTTACAGGATTTTATCTCTCCACTTTTCTCTGAGATGAAA